GGAGCAGTGTAACTCACATAACTTTAATCTTCTTGAGGAGCACAATTTATGTTGAAGCTGAAAATCTATATCCAAATTAGTGGTTATAGAATTGGCTCAGACTGAAATTGTGAATGTGCTTTAAAATTCAAGTGACACAATGGAAGGAAACTCATATATGTTCCTTATTATTCAATCTAATGTCTCAGAGAACCTCACTATTAAGGGGAAGGCCTCTCATAGTCACAGAAAGAGAGGGCTTCAGTGCAGGCTTATCTGAAAACCACACTTTTTTTGCATCCAAAGACTTACCAGGCTAATCATGCACAGAGCCATATCAGAACTCACTTTCTCAACAATCTTTCTGATCTGCCACCAAAGACCCTCAACCCTAGAAAACATTTTATCTGGAAAAATCGAAAAACTGACAAAGATATCCCAGAGCCAAATCTCTACTAAACATTGTTACTTGTAGATTTTTTAAAGAAATTGTGTAAGAGCTGCATGTAACCTTAAAATATGTCTCATTCCTGATGCTTTCAGAAACTATATTTATTTTTAAATATAGTTCAATAAAATTGAGATGTGAGGTCAATCATTCTCAATTACAAAATTAGTGTTTTTCCATTTCCTTATTGTATGGCATTAGTAAGTTACACTTAAACCCCCTGGACCTCAGTTTGAATCAACTAAATAATGACAAAATTGTCTCCCTTCAAAGACTATTTAAATCTCTTAGAAGCATATGTAGTTGAATGAAAAAAAATGTTATTTTCTTCTGAGTCATCACTAGTCACCAGATGCAAACATATTAGTTCATTTAATATTTCGAGGTAGAAATTATTAACTCCATATTATAGAAAAGTAAAGAAAAGCCTGGATTTTAAGAGATTTGACAATTGTCATACAGTTATCAGAGGCTGGAATAGGCATGTGAACCCAGGCTTTTCTGACCCCAAAGCCTATGCTCTTTCATCATATCCATACTACCTCCCACTAATGGCTTCATCTGTACACTAAGATATACTCTAGTTCCTAAGCTGTAATACTAGTTATGGCATAGAGGTATGGAACACCTCAGCTTCATGATTCAGAAATTATTTACCCTTATTAGATAAAAAATATTGTGTTCCAGGGCTGGCCTTTAGTTACTGATCCAGCACTTCTTGTCTGCTACAACTTTTGGCCAAGGGACTAGGACATTTGATTGAACTCATTACTTGCCTTGGAGACTTTTCCCTGCATCCTATTCCACTCATCTCAGGTCTATAAAAATCTCCTTGGTTCCTACTATTTGGAATTGCACCTTCCCATGCTCAAAACAAGCCATAGGGAATATGTTAATATCTCTCAGCGCATTGTCAGAGTCTGGCCACAACTAAGAGAATGCCCAAAATCACAGTGATGCCATTTCCATGGATAAGCCGGTTCTGGAGACTCCTGTGTTGATCAAATTTAATGCTCAGATGGCAGTAGCTACAGAAACCATGTCATGTCTATTCTTTCTAAGACTTAAGTTTGGCATGCCATTGAATGCCTTGGATGATGCCAGACTCAGCAAGCAATCATCTCACTGCCTTTACCCTCTCTCCCTGGCTATGCTGTTCATGTGCCCAGCATGCCTCTCTTCAGTGTCTTCTTGAGGTCTGCCATGATCAGTCAGGAGCTAAGTGATCTGCAGAAGGTGAAGGCAAAGAGAGCAAGAAATTAAATGTGTGACTCCAGTGACCTAAGAGATATGAGGAGCAATGCCATGGCCAAAAAGCTTCCCTGCATTTGGTCATGGCAATCACTTACTCCAAAACCAGACTCTTCTGGGCCTGTAGGTCCAGGCTGCTGAATGCATCTGTCTAAAGCAAGAATTGAGAAACAAAGAGAGGAAGAACTGCTGAGTTTGGACTTTTAGCAGAACTTGATTTTATATGAATGCTCTGTTATTTGTCAATGGGTCCGTTTTCTCTGGTTAAACTGAAAAGGGATATGAAAAATCTTTGCTTAGAAAATGTGCATGTTTCCTCTAAAAAGCATATTTCAAAACTTCATTCCAGGAAGTTCCTTTATAACTTGGTGTAATTTGCTGCAGCTCAACATAAATGCTGCTAAACTCCCACAGGAAGCATGCAAAGAAGATGTTGGAAATCAGGGAAGAATTGTGAAGGAAAAGGATGAAGGGATTCTGTGTTTCAGTATAGTAATTCTCTTATGCTACTTATCAACATCCACCCTGCCGTTAGAGCCATTTGTGTTCATCTCTCACTTATTGGACTGTTAGCTCTTTATGAGTATAGAGTCATTGTCAGATATCTTCTTTTTTTCCCCAGCACCTAGTGCAATGTCTGATATATGGTAGGTTTGAAAGACAATGAACATTATGAATATGGCAGAGAATGTCAGTGCTCATTAGATTTCTGTTTACTCTTCATGGTATGAAGACATGAACAAGGAGTGGCAGGGTCATCCAGGTACTACATTACGAAGTGTGTTCCCAGTGAATTTTTCCTATGTTAAGACCCTGAAATGTGAGTGTCTATTTGCTACAGCAAGTAAAGTAATTCTAACACAATGAGTACATAATTCCATTGATTAACTGATTTACTAAGTGATGGCTGGATAATATTAATATGAGATATTAATGGTTGATTTCTAATTACTTAAGTAAGAGAATAAAGACAGAATCAGATTTATCATGAAGCTAATGAAGGTTATGTTTCAATGAAGGCACTGGCAGAACTCTTCCTTCTTGGGAAATGCCCTAGCAATATGTTCAGATTTGTAAATTTTTCAAAAGTAATTTTTTGTATTATTTTTCTTAGGAGCAGGTCCCCAAATTATGGAAGCCACAGAAAACTGACTCTGTCCCTGGGTCAAGATAATACAGCATGGTGGTATATAATGCATAAAATGTGAAATTTGTATTAGCAATGCACAGAAAGTCAATTTTCATTGAAGTTGACTTTTTTATTAATAAAAATGTCATACAATTTAAAGTAGCCTGCAATTTATTGTCACATTTTCTCTCATTACTTTTTCTATGATGCCTTAGCATAAAGAATTGCCTCATTAATAACTTTGACCAATTGCTTTTGCAAGATGTTGATTATTTTTCCCTTTTGCATTTGACAAAGCTTACAAATAGATAAAAAAAATGCCTTTCTTGTAATAGTGTTAGGTTAGTTTTAATAATGAGTCAACGGTGGGTGTTTTAAACATTTCCAGTAAATTTATCTTTGCGCATAGATATGTCTTATATGATAACCAAATTAAATACACACACATACAACACACACACAACACACACACACACACACAAATGAGTTTATGGAATGCTCAGGAAAGTTAGATAAAAAATAATGTTTAACAACTTGTTTGATTAATTTCAGCTCTCTCACTTAATATTTTGTTAAGTGATATTCTAACCAGAGGGGAGATATGAGAAAAGGAATATTAGATAGATATTATCTTTCTAGATATTAGAAAATTAATAACTTATGACTTTGGAAATGAGTTTGAGTTTTAAAGGTAGGAATATATGACTGACAATTTTGCCTGTATCTTCAGTTGTAAACATTTGTGTCTGCTATATTGATAAGCTTTCCTTACCAAAACTCTTGAATTTGCTATTATTCAATTTGATTTGCCTCTTCCTTTATCTTTACCTAGCTTCTTACAGACAATCTACAAAAGAAAAAAAATAGTTTGCCTTATTTAGACATAGGCTTTAGTTATTTGTTAACATTTCAATGTATACTATTTTCTGATATGAGAATAGAAGAAAAACATTACATTTCTCTCTAGGAAGGAAATTACTACTAAAATTTTCAAAAGCAACATTCCCAATATAGTTAATAATTCATAAAAAAAGCAAATCAAGGAACTAAAGATGAGAACAATGCATGGTGTCTAGAAGACATCATTTATGCAGCTAGTTAAATGCACATAATAAAAGTTGAAGATCTCTCTATGGTTTCTGAACTGAAAGAGTTCTCATAAAAGTCCAAAAGTATTCACAAACACAGAGCTCCCATTTTAATGAAAGAGGTTTTTTCAGGAATCATAGAATAGTGTTGTATCATCCATACATAAGCAACATGGCAGCAGCAGCTGTAGCTTGTTTTTATCCTAAAGCACTCAATTTAACAGCTGAGCATTAAAACATTGATTTTGATATTGAGAAAACCACATTTGCTAAGTTCCATGTCCAAAATATTTCAAATAAGCTATTGTAGAATAAATAATTTAAATCTCTCTATATGCATTTCAAAAGGGTAAAGGTTTTTATGCCCACAAAAAAATGCACGTTTAGTATAACAGCAGAACCATTATCCAAAAGAAGAGAAAATATTTCCCCTACATCTAATTTAGACACCCTTCCTTTAGCATAGGGCTCTGTAAAACTGTTTGATTATTCAATAATCAACTTTCAACCCAAAGTTATTACTTCTTTAACTCTTTGAAAGAAACTTTGATATAGTTCTTCCTAATTTAATTGGCAGCTATCAGTTAAATAAACCATTTGATTGAGACTTTAAATGTAAATAATTTTCCCTAACCAACTGTTAACAGAAGTCAGTTGATGAATGTTAACTGTAACATCCATAAGAGTCGGTGGCCTTTCATTGCCCATATCTTCCACATATCCCTGTACTTCAGAGATATGTCAATTGAAAATAGCTGGATAGTAGTCGAGACTTCTTCATAAGTCCTCTTGTCTATAGTAGGTTTTGTTCTGTGTTCTTGAGCTTGATATATGGTCGTAGAATCAAAAACACACATTCATCATAAAGAAAGTTAGTGTTTTATCTAGGAGCTATAAGTTTTCTGGTAAGTACAAAAGGAAAATAACAGCACCCAAGAGAGAAAGTGAAGGAAGAAAGATGGGGAGCTAGCAGTGGGTAAACTAAACAAAGCATTATAAAGTACTACACAGGAGCAATTCATCCAGCATCGAGGCTACAACCATATTATCTTTTCATTTTCAAATCCTTCTTATCCCTCCTTAAGGGCCTACTACATGACCTTACAGACAGTAGATACTCAGTCAACATTCTCCAACAGTCGGCCATGCCAACCACTTGCACATTTCATGCTTGGGGCATGTGGTGAGAAAAAGGACAGTGGACAAGAGCTACACACAAAGAAGGCTCTTCCTTTCTTCACACTTCTGATTGTCTTCCTTGGAGCCTCCAATTTTCCTGTGTCCAGACTTTGGTATTCAGTGTGGGCCCATTGTAGTGTCTGGAAAAATTTATTTATTTTACAGCTCCTGAACAGAACTAGCATTCATTTTCCAAGTTGGAATCACAAGAGAAATATGAAAGCTAACTGCACATAGTATAAATAAACATGATATGGGAACATGAGAGCAGAACACAGCAGCCTGACATAGACGAGAGAGACAATCCAGCATAACAAATAGTAAGTTGTGCTTTGCCCGTGGCATTTTCTGGCTCCATCAATAATTATATAATACAACAGTCACTGATTTCTCAGCCCTGGATCAATAATGGGTTTCACATCCCCTCCAGAGCTGGTTGTTGACCAAGGTGCTTGCTCAGACCCCCACCTCATCTATGGCAAAAATCGATTCTTGCATAACTGCTTGTGTGCTTGGAATGTCAGCATCAGAGCAATGGAGAAATGTGATGTTTAATAGCACTGCAGAACTCATAAAGATTTCATATCTGCCCCATAAGCCCATAGAGCTCAACCAGTAGCTTCAAAGGAAAGTTCCCAACCCAAAAGATACAATACAGTGGGACTTTCCAAAGAAAAAAACAACAGCAACAACAACAATAACAGCAACCACAAATATGTAGCACACTCACAGGTTAAGAGCAGACTATGGAAGGAAATTTGTTTCATCTGTCCTATGATTAACATATCCCATATTCTAACAGGTGAGCTGACATTCTTACTACAATGGGATGGTAGTGTCGCAATAATATTGGGATGGACTTTCTGAGGTATAGCCCAAAAATATCCCATCACAACTGAGGCTACATCAAAGGACAGTCATATCACATCATAAAATATATTTTTAAAAATGTAAAGAGGCTCTATTTCTTCATACAAAGTAGCATATTTTCAAGTCAGGTATTCTTTGATAAACGACACTAGTTGTGTGTACTCAACACACGCACAAAAAGGAGATCTAACAATCATTGTTTTAACCTGATCAAGGCAGATTACCAAACTGGATAATATTGCTTAAGAAGGAAGGTGTACTGAAATGTAGCCAAATATATCCAGATTACCAAACTGGATAATATAGTTTAAGAAGGAAGGTGTACTGAAATATAACCAAAGTAGGTTATAAAAATTGAAATTTCCTGTCTGGTTGTCTGCCTTGATTTCATTAAAAAGATAATGGTCCGAATTCTTCTTCACTAGTAAAGTTGTATACTGGTAGTATATAAATGAGGACAAAATTGTGAAATGGGCTTTTTTAAGCTTCTATTGCCCTGTCTTTTACAGGGTCACTCTAACTGGTGGCCATAAAAATGTCAGAAGAATGTATCACAGACATTAAGAACCTTAATTTTGCAGTTTAAAAAAAGTGGAACCCAGAGAGACTGAGTGTGTTACCCAAGATCAGCAATAGCCCCAGCATCTCATGGATCCAGGAACCACATGTTACGCACTGCGCCAGAGCTCCTGCTAAGATGACAAGTATGTTTTTGGGGTTCTAGAGGCTATGCCCCTAAATTATCCTCACTGAAATGGAGTAAATATTTGTGCCTCTCTAAAATTTATATGTTAAAATCCTAACCCTCAAAGTGATAGTATTAAGAGGTAGGGCCTTTGAGAAATCAGATCATGAGGGTGGAGCCCTCATGAATGGGATTAGTGCCCTTATACAAAGGACCCCAGAAAGCTCTTTGACCCTATTTTTGCTATGTAAGGACACAGCAAAAAAGAGCACTGGTGATGAACTAGGAAACAGGCTCTCATAAGACATCAAATCATCTGGTACCTTGCTCTTGGACTCCCCAGCCTCCAGAACTGTGAGAACTATGTTTATTGTTGAAGCCATCAGTCTATGGTATTCTGTTACTTCCCCTCCTCATATCATTTTTTTGAACATTTCCCTATTGTCATTAGGATATACAACTAAGCAACCCTGAGCCTAATTTCGCAAAAAGGTGTCTATGGTGGTCAAAGCAGTATCTTCGGATCCTTTCCCTCTCACCTTCCTACCCTCATACCACTTTTCTACCTATAGAATTAACCAAACTTAGCAACTCCATTCTTTGAGTTGCTTGGAACAAAATCTTTAGATTCATACTTAATGCCTCTCTTTCATGTATTCCACTCATCCCAACCATCATTAAGTACTAACAGCTCTACTGTCAACCTCTGACCATTTCTCATCACTTTCACTGTTATCACATTGGTCCAAGTTACCATCATATGCACCTGAGTTAATTGTAATAACTTTATAACTATACCTACTAGAAGATGTCACTGCTTTGACTTCTGCCACACTCTTTCTTACACCCAAGTTATTCTCATCCAATAGCCAAAATTATCATTTTAAAGCCTAAATCTGAATATGATACTTTTCTACTTAAAACCTTCCAATTGCTCTCTATCTCACTCAAAAAATTCATACCTGACAATTGTCTATAAGGCCCTATATAATCCTATTGCTCTAACTTCATCATCTATTCACCTGCTAGTTCACCAGGAGCTGGTCATATAGTCTTCTTGCTGTTCTGCAAATACACTAAGCATGCTCTGGCCTCAATGTTTTTCGAATCACTGTCCCTTCTTCCTGGATCACTTTTCCCTCAGATACAAGCATAGCTGGTACCCACAGCTTCCTCAAGATGCTGCCCAAATGTCAACTTCCCTTGCTTTCTCTTAAAAAAATAAAACTGGAATTCTAACAGCTACCTCAGCATTTCTTACTGAATTTTCTTCATTACAGTTAACTTCTAATATGCTATATAACTTGATTTTTCTTTTGCATACTGTCTGTCCTCCCCTCCAGATGTGAGCTCTGAGTGGTGAGGAGAGAGGATGGGAGGCAGAGAGGTTCTCTTTGTTTACCACTACAACCCCAGTACCTAGTATGGCAGCATGTAGCAAACGTTTAATTAAAGTTGATTTGATAAATTAATGAATAATAAGAGAAAAGTCATATTTCAGGTAGGGAGGTGCAGGGGACAATTTGGGGCAAAGGAAGTCTTCTTTGTATCCTGTTCATCATCTCCAGATGCATATTCTTTCACGAACAAGGCCAAAGGTTGGTTCAAGCTATTCAAGTTGCCTCAGTAAATCAGGTATCTGGCCTCAAATAAATGTTGGTGATAATCTGATGCGAAATAATGTTCTTAGACAGGATAAAATTTAGGGAATGGGCATGGTGCTGTTTAATCTGAAATAGCTGGAAAATGGTTCATCATTCTTTCCTGTGCTGCCACCACCCAGAAAGCTTGAATTAAAAGCAAGTATTTCCTCTCTGTTAGCACTCCCTGCCCTTGAGACATGAGTTTGCAAAATCATGGAATGAAGGCCTGAGGGAATGAGAAGAAAGTCAGAGAGCCTCATTGAGGGAGAAGATACGTGATACTCTGACTTCCTACCCTCTCCTTATGATTCCCTCGAGATCTGTTGATGCCTTTGCTCCCCTCACTTCTTTACTCCTTGCCATCTGCTATCCCTATGTCTAGTAAGGTCAGGAGCAGCTGAACTGGATGAAAGGATACTTCACATTGAGAATCAGGATCAGATACAGCAATTCAATGCCTTACCAAAGTGCCCAGAGAACTCTAATGTTTGAAAATAATTCCCAACAGGTACTGAAAATTCAAAGAACTTATAATACAAATGCAGCATCTGAGCCACACTCTTATACAGCGGGGCTGATTATGTAGTCTAGAGAGCAGGAGCTGATCACCATGGGCTGTCCAACTGGGCAAAGAACAAATGATGAATGTGATATTAACACTGTCCAACTGCCTGACCTCAAAGGCTCCCTTTCTGAATGTACCCTTAGTCTGTTTGCACAAAAGCAGACTGCAATAACAACTAAAGTTTTTCTTTTTAGTTTCTTCTTTAGGCATGCACTATGGAACAACATCAACAAAAAGGAGCACCAGCAGGAAGAAACTAACTAATGTACAGTCAGCAAAAAAGTCCAGATTTTAGTGCATTTTTACTCACATCCTCAGAGAAAGAGAATACAAGCTGTATTTGACACAAGCAACTCTGCAAACTTTAATTACAGCACTTGGAAAACCTTACATGTAAAAGTAATTAAAAATAAATTGTTCCCTGGGAAGAAACAGGCTAATTTGAACTGTGGAACTTTATTTTTTCCAAGAAATTTCACAAGTGAAGTTGGTGTCATGTAACTTGCCAGGTAATAAATAGCGATAAGAATAAAATTCCACACATCTTCAGAGTTGATAGTGAAAGGACACAAAGATAGATGTGTACCCGCCTCCCCCCCCGCTACACCCTTTGTTCTGCTCTCTAATCTTTGCACATACCAGAGATTTTGTAAGTTCTGTGAGTACCTGTTTTTCTGCACATACCAGAGATTTTGTAAGTTCTGAGGCAAGGTCACAAGACGTGTTTAAGTAAGATAAACTCTTGCTGCCATAAACCTGCTCTCCCGCCTCAAAGGTTGAACCGAAATATCAGAAATGGCGGGAACCAATCATAGTTAGCCAAATCGCCTTGTTCAAACACTAGCCAATCATATATCTGATTTGTATAATAACTCTATGCCCACTTTTCTTAGACTATATAACACTGCTCGGAGCTCAGTGGGGGAGCTCTCCTGCCCGTCTCGTTTCGCGAGCGAGGGAGAGTTCCAGGTTCGAACCTGTAATAAAGATCCTTGCTGCTTAGCTTTGACTCTGGACTCTGGTGGTCTTCTTCGGGGAATAAATGGTCTGGGCATAACAAATGGGGGCTCGTCTGGGATTTCCCCCAAGCCCACCAGACCCCCAAGTCAATGGATCTTAATCTGTAGGTAAGCCGGCTTTGTCACTGTCTCTGTCTTTGTCTCTGTCTGTCTCCCTGAAATTTCTCGAAATCCGTAATCTGTAATCTGTATTGGTCTGTTTTGTAAGTGGCACGGTCTTGGCGGACGCGCCAAAAGACAGCCACTCGGGACTGGTGGGAGACATCGCCCAGTGCCCATCTGGGGGCCTCCATCCTTGGTTGCCCCGTCTGACTCAGGTTGGAAGTCCGACATGTGCTCACGAAGGCTCATCGTTTCTCACTGTCTGTCCGTTATTGTTAAGTGTTAAGTGTAAGTCCAAAATGAAACATAAAACCTTTTCTTCCCCTTCCAGGACCGGACCTGTCGGATACTCCCCTCTGCTTCACACTCATTTTCGTCCCTCCTTCTCTTTGTAGGAGCAGTCCAAAGATGGGCAACAACCAGAGCACGCTGATCTCACTCCTTGTTACCAATTTTAAGGATGTGAAGGCTCAGGGGCGTAACTTAAGCGTAGAACTAAAGAAGGGAAAGCTAGTTACTTTCTGCCGTTCGGAGTGGCCCTCTTTCGGCGTAGGGTGGCTCTCCGAAGGAACTTTCTGTCTCTCTATTATTACTAAGGTAAAAACTAAGATTTTCCTGCCAGGGCAGTCAGGACATCCTGATCAAATTCCTTATATTCTAGTGTGGCAGGATCTTGTGGAAAACCCACCGCCCTGGGTAACTCCATTCATCCCTGAGCCCTGCAAGGTCCTAGTAACGCGACCTACAAGACAAAGGACTCCCTCTGCTCCCTCGGCCCCTGTGCTGCCAGACAGCCAGGACCCCCTAACGTTAGAACCCACACTTCCCCCACCATATCCGCACCTTATCCCGCAGGACCTAGTCCCCCAGGGTGGTGCTTCCGTAGAGGGAAACCGAGAAGCGGAAGCAGCCGAGAGCGAAAGTAACCCGGGGGGGCCGGCCAGCCGAACGCGAGGCCGCGTACTGCGGGACCAAGCTTCCCAACTCCCTGACTCCACCGTAGCCCTGCCTCTCAGAGAAATAGGATCGCTCGATGATACTGGGCTCTCCCGTCTCATGTATTGGCCTTTTTCCACTAGTGATGTATACAATTGGAAGTCCCAAAATGCTCGGTTCTCCGATAATCCCAAAGATCTAACCTCGTTGTTAGACACTGTCATGTTTACTCACCAGCCGACCTGGGATGACTGTCAACAGCTCCTCCGAATCCTGTTCACAACGGAGGAGCAGGAAAGAATCCAAGTTGAGGCCAGAAAGCTGGTTCCAGGAGATGACGGCCAGCCAACTGCAAATCCTGACCTCATTAACGCGGCTTTTCCTTTGACCCGGCCCAGATGGGACTACAACACAGCAGAAGGTAGGGGACGACTGCTCATTTATCGCCAGACTCTAAGGGCGGGTCTCCGGGCTGCAGCTCGCAAGCCCACCAATTTGGCTAAAGTATATTCTGTGTTACAAGGTAAGACAGAAAGCCCTGCTGTGTATTTAGAGAGATTAATGGAAGCTTTCAGACAGTTTACCCCTATGGACCCGGAAGCACCGGAAAATCAGGCTGCGGTAGTAATGTCCTTTGTAAATCAGGCAGCACCAGATATTAAAAGAAAACTCCAGAAATTAGAAGGTTTAGAGGGAAAGCAGATTCAGGACCTCCTTCAGATGGCCCAGCGAGTTTATAATAATAGGGATAGTCCAGAAGAAAAACAGTTCAAGGCAACCAAAGAAATGACCAAAGTCTTAGTAGCAGCTTTTCCCCAGGCAGGGAATGGCCAAAGCAGAAAGCAGAAAAAGCAAGGCTCTAGGCAAGGATTAGAAAAGGATCAGTGTGCTTATTGCAAGGAACGTGGTCACTGGATTAAAGACTGCCCAAAGAAACGGAGACCAGCTAACCCTACCTCCGTACTCGTTACCCAGGACTCTGACTAGGGGGAATGGGGTTCGGACCCCCTCCCCGAACTCAGGGTAACTTTGCAAGTGGAGGGGTCCCCAGTTCGCTTCTTGGTCGATACTGGGGCGGAACGCTCAGTCCTAACCAAACCAATTGGAAAAATGTCTAAGAAAACATCCTGGGTGCACGGGGCCACAGGCATCAAAAAATACCCCTGGACAACCCAGAGGACTGTAGACTTAGGAATGGGAAAAGTCTCCCATTCCTTCCTAGTCATCCCAGAGAGCCCCTGCCCTCTACTAGGGAGGGACTTGCTGACAAAAATGGGGGCCCAAATCCACTTTGAGCCAGAAGGGCCCAAGATAACTGATTCCCAAAACAGGCCAATATCTATCCTGACTGTCACCTTAGAAGATGAGTACAGACTCCATCAAGAGCAAAAGCCCCCCGATCAGGAAATTGACTCTTGGCTCCAGCGTTTCCCTGAAGCGTGGGCAGAAACTGGGGGCTTATGGCTAGCTAAACATCGACCTGCCATATTTGTGGAAGTTAAGCCAGGGACGGACCCGGTTCGGGTTCGGCAATATCCTATGCCCCTGGAGGCAAGAGAAGGAATTACGCCCCATATCCGCCGACTCCTAGACCAGGGAGTCCTACGGGCTTGCCACTCATCCTGGAATACTCCACTGTTACCTGTTCGTAAACCCAACAGTACGGACTACAGGCCAGTACAGGATTTAAGAGAGGTTAATAAAAGGGTCATGGACATACATCCCACTGTGCCCAATCCATACACCCTTCTGAGTGCTTTACATCCCGAAAAACAGTGGTATACCGTTCTTGATCTAAAAGATGCTTTCTTCAGCTTTCCTCTGGCTCCCAAAAGTCAAGGACTCTTTGCATTTCAATGGACGGATCCTGAGAGGGGCATCAACGGTCAGCTAACATGGAACAGGCTGCCACAAGGGTTCAAGAACTCGCCAACCCTGTTCGATGAAGCCCTTCATGAAGATCTGGGTGAGTACCGGCGGCAACACCCTGAAATAACTCTTTTGCAATATGATGATGATCTCTTAATAGCGGCCAGATCCCCGGAAACTTGTGTTCAAGGGACTGAGGACCTCTTGAAGACTCTGGGGGAGCTAGGCTACCGAGCCTCAGCAACAAAGGCTCAGATCTGCAAGTCGGAGGTAACTTATCTGGGGTACCTATTAAAAGGGGGGCAACGCTGGCTAAGCAAAGCCCGAAAGGAAACAGTCCTACGCATCCCTAGACCCCAGTCAACACGGCAAGTGAGAGAATTCCTGGGGTCAGCAGGGTTCTGTAGGTTATGGATACCCGGATTTGCTGAGTTAGCCAAGCCCCTATACCAGTCAACAAAGGAACGGCAGCCCTTCAATTGGACGGAAGAGGCTGAGCTGGCCTTTCAACAAATCAAAACTGCCTTGTTATCAGCCCCCGCGCTGGAGCTCCCTGATGTCTCCAAGCCCTTCCACTTATACGTGGATGAAAGTAAGGGTGTTGCAAAAGCCGTGTTAACACAGTACCTAGGCCCCTGGCAGAGGCCAGTTGCCTATTTGTCAAAAAAATTAGATTCAGTGGCTGCTGGCTGGCCACCCTGCCTGCAGATAATCGCGGCGACCGCCCTAATGGTCCGAGACGCTGATAAACTTATCATGGGGCAAGAGTTGCACATTATAACCCCACATGCCATTGAAGGCGTCCTCCGGCAGCCGCCGGACCAATGGATGAGTAACGCCCGGCTCACCCACTATCAAGGACTGCTGTTAAACCCCCTCAGAATAACTTTTCTGCCCCCAACCTCTTTAAACCCTGCTTCACTGCTGCCAAATCCAGACTTGGACGCCCCGTTCCATGAGTGCACTGAGATACTGGCTCAGGTGCATGGGGTGCGGGAGGACCTGCAAGATCGTCCGCTCCCCAACACAGAACTCATCTGGTTCACTGATGGCAGCAGCTACGTCCACCAAGGCCAGCGGTATGCAGGAGCGGCTGTAACGTCAGAGACTGAGGTAATCTGGGCGGAACCCTTGCCTCCAGGGACATCGGCTCAAAGAGCCGAACTGATAGCACTCACACAGGCCCTCACCCTAGGGGCTGAGAAAAAACTAACAGTATACACGGATAGCCGCTATGCTTTCGCTACTGCGCACATACATGGGGCCATCTACAGAGAGAGGGGACTATTAACAGCCGAAGGCAAAGAAATAAAAAACAAGCAAGAGATCCTAGCTCTATTAACTGCTTTGTGGAAACCAAAGAAATTGGCTATCGTACATTGCCCTGGGCATCAGAAACCAACTACGCCAATTGCTCGAGGCAACTTCTTAGCCGACCAAACCGCAAGGAGCATAGCAAAAGCTCCCAGTCAGCTCCTCGCGCTCCAGCTCCCCGATCCTGGCCCGTGAAATTTGCCATG